CTTCCTCCAAATCTCCACGTTTTTCGACACGCTGTTGTTGTTGTTGTTGTTGTTGTTGCTGTTGTTGTTGCTGCTGCTGTTGTTGTTGTTGTTGCTGCTGTTGCTGCTGCTGCTGCTGCTGCTGCTGCTGCTGCTGTTGTTGATTCTTCATATGGTTCGGAAATTTGGTTTTAACGGCTAGGTCGGAGGGAGCAGCCTTAGTGGTTTTCGAGTAATTCGTATTTTCGAAGATCAAGGTTTGCACGGGAGGCGAAGAAACGTCGGACACCGAATTCTTTTCCGAGAGCTGTTCCTTCAAATTCTTATTGGGCTTTTCATTGTTCGGCGAATTTCGTTGGCTGCTGTTTCCAGAATTGGTCTGCTCGTTGATTTCGTGAGCGTGGATATGACCGTGGTCGTTTTGCGACGACATACCAGACATCAATGGAAGATCAGCGGAAACCGCGGACGGCGAGGTTGACCGCAACTGGCTGGTCGTGAACGGTTTGTCCCAAGCGTTCACCGACGGTGGCGGCGCGGGCCCGCTCGACGACGAATCCTTATTGCTGTACGCGTTGTTCGAGTCGTTCGACTCTGACGTGCACATCTGTTGTTGCTGTTGTTTCGCCAAGCGTTGCTTCAAGAATCTAGGGGCGACCAATTTTTGACTGCGCGTCCTATCGTGTTGCTTTTGCAACATGTTCGCCGGTTGTGGAATGGTTTGGCCCAACAGAGGCGGTATATTCTGCACCTGTTGCAACGAAGATGTCTGGGAACCACCGTTGGCCTTCGATTTCGAACGATCGCGCTCCCGATCTTTCTCCTTCTCGCGTTTCAACGGTTTCGCCGCTTCTTCCTTCTGTCCGTGTCTGGATTCTTTGACGTTCTTTTTCGAACGAACCTCTTGGAAACCGTCCGAATCGACCTTTTTCTCGATCACGTTCGTCCCGTCTTCGGCGCAATTGTTGGGTTCCATCTCGTAATCGACCATAATCTTTTTCTCTTTTATCTGTGACTTTTTGTTGATATCGTTCAGAGCTTGACTGACCAAATTCGGATCGGTCAATTTGATTTCGTCTATACGATTGACGGTGGCATCCTTCGCAGCCGATTTATTCAACATCGCGTTGCTCCCGGAAGTCTGACTTCTCGACCTCCCGTTCTGAATTTGAGCGGACTGCATCAGAGGCGGAATGCTGCTGGCGTGACTCTTTTGATTGGCGAAACCCAAATTTTGCACGTTTCGCTTTTCCGCGCCAGGCGCGCGAGACGTTGAATTGGAAGACTTTGCGGGTTTTTCTCGCTGTTCCCGGTTGCCTGCCGCTTGCTCGTTTCGCCGGGAGTGCACGTTCGATCCGGCAGTGTTTTGGCTACCACTGGAGCTCGTGCGCGTACCAAACTGTTTGCGACTGTTTCGCATCTCTTTGTGTTCCTCTACGTGTTCCTCGCTGTTCTCCGACGTTGTTTCCCAATCTTCGTTTCCGATATCCGAGGAGTTTTGCTTCGACACGTTGCTGCTACTTCCACGATACCGCGACTCTCGATTATCTCTACCCTGTAACGAACAGGATCGATATCGGTACAACATCCGGATTTCTATGTATACGCGTACCGCGCGTTCCTGAGAAGATGGCGAGCGGGACGACGGCGCGGGAGCAACCTCGAACCGGCGGGCAGAGCTCGCTCGCCATCTACCGAGCAACGCACGGTACGCGTACAGAATTTCAGTAATGCACAGGCGGCAGTAGAACCGATTCCACTTTAATAGTTTTCCCCTTACTTACCCTTCTGCTCGCGCTACGAGTTCTTTTCGAGCGCGACGATTCTTCTTTACGGCCGTGTACCTTCTGAGCAACAGGGTTGCTGCTCGTGTGATTTACGTCCTGTTTGTTGCAGAGTTGTTGATTCTGTGGATGTTGCTGGGACTGTTGAATCGGAGACTTGGCACGCTTCCCTGTAATTCCAGCTGTGAGCGCCTGTTGCTTCGCGATAATTTTATCATCGGCGGACTCCAGCTGCGAGGAGGCGAGCGAATTTGGTTCCTTCTCGGAAATGGCAGTCGATATCACCGGATTCTGCCGCAAAGAATTCGAGGGTTCTTGGCGCTTCTCGTCGATGGTTCGTTCGCAGGAAAAGGGGCTCTTGCTGGATGGTGGCCCGTAACCTTCCATGCGATTTCCGGTACTGGTGGCGCTTCGCATTCGCACGCCGCCCCGACCGTGACGAGAAGGTTCCCCGGAAGGAGCGAACCCTTCGTGGCTCGATTTACCGTCGTAAGCTCGTTTCTCGTTTCGCTGCTGTTGCGAGTAATCCGCTCGCTTCTCGTCTCGGTTGGATACCTCTCGATTGCGCTCCTCCTTCTCCGCCTTTTGATTCGGCTTCGGCGATCTGGCGGACTTTTTCTCTTCCTTGCCGGACTCGGTCGAGCAAGATATTTCGTCGCCGCTGTTCTCCGAGTCGGAATGCCCGTACGAGCCGCTTCTGGCGGAAGCTGGTCTGCCCGCGGTTCTGTGGACGCCCCTCCGCCCCCTGGACTCCGAGCTACGCCAACCCCTGGTGTACGTGCTGTAAGTACCAGCCCATTGTCGCCCCCCGCGAGATTCGCGAACCCTCGAGTTCGATCCGCCGCTACTCGTTCTGTTCCGAATGCTCTTCTCCCGCTTCTCCTCCTTCGCCTGCTGTTCCGTGATCGCGTCTTCGTTCAGAACGCTCTCCCTGTCCCTCTCTCTCTTGTCCAAGCTCAACTTTTCGAGATTTTGCTTCAACAGCTCGTCGGGCTCCTTGTCGTTCTTGACGCTGTCCAAGCTTTTCTCCTCTTCCTTCTCGAAGGTAGGGGAGACGGCGTCGGCCCACGCCTTTGGGGAATTCTCGCCTCTCTCCGTGGTTCGATTGGTGTCGTTTATCCGCTCGACTTTCCAACTCCAGACGTCCGGTTCCTTTTTCGTCTCGATAGCAGATTCCTTCAACTGCTCCTTCTTGTCGTGCTCGGAGCTCGTTCTCTTCAGCTGGGTTAAATTCCGTTTCTCCGCTTTCAGTTCGTCCGCTTCGATTCTCTCCTTCGTGACCGGTCCAAGGGGTTGCCTTCTCTCTCGTTCTCTTTCCCGGGTGTCCTCGTGATATGTATCTCGCTTGTTCTCCTCGTAATCGGCAACCTCGTTCGCCCAGGAACTGCAATCGCGCAACTTGTGCGAGTCTTCTTCGCGCAAGGAAGTCTTCGATTCTCGAGAAGTACGACTGTCGCGAGAATCCGGTCTCTGCGGGCGCTCGTTGCGTTCCACTCGGTCGTCCCGTTGCTGTAAGTACTCGTCACTGTAGCCACCTGGTTTCCGGGTATCGTAAGGTCGATGCAACGAATGACGATTATCGATCGACCTGTCCTGCGTGATACGATCTTCCCGCCACTCGACACTTTCCGATCTTTCTCTCTGATCGCGATCCCGCTCTCTGTCACGATCGCGATCACGGTCGCGATCGCGTTCCCGTTCGCGTTGCATGTCGCGGCGATTATCGATCGACCTATCTTGCGTGATACGATCATCCCGCCATTCGACGCTTTCCGATCTTTCTCTCTGATCGCGATCTCGTTCTCTATCACGCTCGCGATCACGCTCTTCGAAAGGATCCTGTTGACGAATACGAAACACAGATTAATAGCGTACACAGATGAACGCGCATCGGTGTCAAGTTTTCATTGAGTAGCTAGCAATCGCAAATATATATATATATATATACATATACTAAACGCTAAACGCTAAATACTAAATACCTTTAAATAATTATCATAATCCTTTTTAAGTTTATTATCTCTTTCTCGATTTTCCCTTATATCTCGAACTGCTCGATTTTCGCGGGCTTCCCGATTTTCTCTGACGTCTCTCGCCTCTAAGTTATCTTTCGAATCTCGATCTTTGTTATCGTCGTAGTATCTTTCACGTTCCCAAGAATCACGGGAATGTCTGTCGTCGTAATCGTGATCTCTGTAATTGCGGGAGTAGTCGTCGCTGTAGCCAGCCGGTTTGCGGGTATCGTAAGGTCGGTGCAAGGAATGCCGGTATCGATCTTCTCGAAGGAAAGACCCGCGATAATCTCTGGACGGAGGTCGTTCGTCCTCTATCGACACAGAGATGTCGGAATCTGTTCTGCTTCGACGTTGCGAGGGAGCACTGCCGTGAGACTGCTTCAAACTGTTATCTACTAAGGCAAATTTTATTCAAATGTTATATACGCGTTGATTCGCGGATCGTAAATAACGACGAAACGCCGATTAGATTTCATAGCCACACTTACTTAAAGAACTGTGATTGTGAAGCCATCTGCTGGGATCGTACTGCTGGGAGAACGAGACTGTCTGAATAGACGACCTCTCGGTACTCGGCGAGATTCGATTGAATCCGGCGTTGCTTCTCTCCGCTTGTTGCTTTTGAAATCGCGGTGGTAAGTTTGATTGAAAAAACCGGGAGAACGTGGGTAAATCGCGATCTCTCGTGTCCCTTTGATCGCGATCTCGCTCGCGCTCGCGTTCGCGTATTATATCTCTTTCTCTCTCTCGTTCGCGGATCATATCTCTTTCCCTTTCTCTCTCTCGTTCGCGTATTATGTCCCTCTCTCGTTCGCGTTCGCGCTCGCGCTCGCGATCGATATCGCGCGTTCGATCTCGATCGCAGCGTACCCCATCCTGCTGTCTGATGAAATTCTGCCGATCGACTTGTCGAAAATCTGATATCAACGAATCTCGGGACTCTCTACCGTATTTCGAACCGTCTCTATTTTCGCGAGATTCGCGCGTCAAAGACTTTTCGTCTTTCACCTCGGAAGATCCGACACCGGGCCGTTCTCCTCGTTCTCCGCGCTCTCCTCGTTCTCCTCGTTCTCCTCGTTCTCCTCGGTCTCCCCGGTCTCCCCGGTCTCCCCGGTCTCCTCGGTCTCCTCGGTCTCCTCGGTCACCGCGCTCTCCTCGTTCTCTGTTTTCCCTATCGCGTTCCCATTCCGGTACCGGAATCGGAACGGGCGGGGCGCTTATCAAATTTTTCGATTCATTCGACTGTTTGTCTTTCAGTTTTTGTTCAACGTCTTGTTGTTTTTTAGCTGCTGCTTGTCTACTCGATTCTTCGTACAGTTTCTCCACTTCTTCTTTACGTTGTTGAGCACGCTCGGTAACCGACGCCACCTCTACTCTCACTACTCGTCGTTTTTCGTTCCATCCTTCGTCGTCTTCTACACCTGTTTAAATTGAAAGACGTTTAGAAATTAAATAAATAACAGCATACGACAAATATAAGATTCAAATAGAAATTCAACTGTATCTAGTACAATGCGCTGGAATGTATAAGCAAAAGATAAACGTACGTACGTACGTACGTACATGTACGACTGCATACGTACATACGAACATGCATACGTACATACGTTCGTCTGTCCATTCATTTATTCGTTCGTTCATCCATCCATCCACGCGTACGTACGCGTACCGTGGCGCATACGCGCACGCATATACATACCTACCTACCTACCTACCTATACACACACCCAACAAACAAACAAGCTCGCACACGCGTGTATCTCTGTACACCAGGCGCACGTATGCACGCGCGCGAACGCGTACCACACGTATACACATACATACATTTTAAGGTAAGGCGTGTTCAATGAAAATTTGTCTAAATGTGATTTCATTCAGTCTATTTTTCACTTGAAACATTACAGGATGATTTGAAAATTGAAGAAGACTTCCAATAATTTAGACGGAAGATAGATCCGAATGAGATCATGCTGGAACTCTCTTACATTGGCATATTCACAGAAATGTTCTCACCTCTCAAAGAATGCACCATGTGCAATTGTGATTGACCGCTGTTATAACTACCGGATCCATTGGATCCGCGATAGTCACGTGGCAAAGAGCTATGAGTCCATGAACGATGAATCGGTTGATCTCGGGATGATTCTTTCAACTCCCGGTTATCGTGAATATCACGGTTATCCCGAACTTTATCTCTATCTTCTGTTGAATTTTCTTCCATTTTTTCCTCTGTACTATCTTTTTTCTCGTCTTTCTTTAGTGGTTCTAGATCGGTTTCATCGTCGCTGAAAGTAAGTTTCTTATTATAATCGATATCGTCTTGCTCTGCCCAACCAGCGTCGCGAGAAATATCATCCATTCGAGTAAGGTCCTCCTCTTTGATAATCGGTCGTGTAACAATTTCTTCCTCGGGAACGCGTTCGCGTTCTTGTTGACGCGGGGCTGGGGCAGGAAATCGTTCCGAGGTGTAATTAAATCGTGGTCTGGGTCCACTGGGACCGGTGTTCGATGAAAACTGCGAAGGAAATCCACCGGTAAAATTTCCTCTGTACATCTGCAAATATTCAAATTGTCAAATGCGACAACGTTGTACTTTATCTCGTGTGCACAGAGAGACATACAGATAACGGACTAATAAAACCAGCCGGTCACGATCCAAGATTTCTTATACTTTTCAAACGACACGAACAACAGCTGAACTTACAAACGGAGGAATCAGTCCTCTATAGTGATGCAAATTTGGACCAATTTGATGAGAGCCAGAACTTAACGCGTTTTGACTGTTTGGAGCATTATGCGGGCCTCCCTGGGCCATGGCCATGTTGGGAGATTGGACCAAGTTCTGTCGTCCGCCAGGTGCGTCGGCATGTCCTCCCGATCCAGTGGCATTCAAAGGGGGGCCCTGGACCACCGAAGTAGTTCCTGAGCCGGGACCACCCGTCCCTAACCCTGCACCACTGGCTGTGCGACTTCCACCTTGTATCCAGCTTCCTTCCGCTAATAAACACGTACGTGTTATATTATATTATTAACGATATATCCATTTATACTAACTATTCTAATACATGCTCTTGCAGTTCCAATGTTTTCATTCGAAATTACCACTTACTTTGGGGGCGTAAACTTGGTCCGGGTCCGTATTGAGCACTTAATTCTCGATTTGTCGGTTGTTGTTGTTGTTGCTGTTGTTGTTGCTGCTGCTGCTGCTGCTGCTGCTGCTGCTGTTGCTGCTGCTGCTGCTGCTGCTGCTGTTGTTGGGTATGTTGTTGGCCTACAGATGCACCGCCTAACCCGAGGCGAAAAGGAGAAAAGTGTATAAAAGTAAAATTGAAACCGAATGCAATTAAAAACAAAGTTCTGCTTTATACCATCTCCCGATCTGCTCATTATCGCGCTCCATGACGATTTGATATTCGCGTCGGAGGTGTACGAAGACTGGGAAATGCTTGGTTGTCCTGGCAGTAACGGATGTAATGTCGGTGTTGCAGTAGTCCCCACTGCACATTGTGCCGGTGAAGAATTTGACTGATAATAAAAGCGACAATTTCAATACCCAATTTTCGTCTTTCGTCGTTTGCGAATAAAAGAGGGCGAGATCCGAACAAGGGATATCTCCACGCATCTCGTGCACAAATCATTTTCATTCGCGAATATATCCTTTCTAAGAAAAAATTACGATTTTGAAAAGACATTATTAATAAACGTACAATTGCTGTATCCGATGAAGTTGTAGTTGTGGTGGTTGTGATGGTAGTGGTTGTCGTTGTTATATCTTTGGTAGTAGCCCAACCACTTCCTCCGCTTGGTACAAGACTAACAGCTGGATCGCTACTACTATGTTCGCTTTTCAAACTAGGCAGATTGGCAGGAGGTCGCCGTGCCGAAGGCACCTTTCCAAGACTTTGCATTCCATGTTTGCGTGGTAATGTGTTCTTTTGTTGTTGCTGCTCCAAAGATTCACCCTACAGTCATAACGATGCGTATACTATTTCTATTTTCTTTTACTCCGCCAATTACTTTTCGACGCGAGGATACAGTTTAAAATTTAATAGTAACAAATATCGTGGAAGATAAAATTGTAACAAAATCTCGTATGTAACTCACTCTATATTCTCTGTATAAACTATTGATATCTAATGATTGGAACTTGGATTTTCCTTTCTCCCCCTTCGACACAGGCCCTGACAGAGTAGACATGCTGTCTGCAGGCAACCATTTAGTACTAATCAGACCCAAAGAACGAACCTTTTGTCTGAAATCATAACGTACGTTTTTTGTCTGTAGGTATTCTATTTGCTGCATAGAAAATATTCGACTGCTGTGTGCCTAACGCCGTACACGTAAAAATAAGTAATAATAGTGACAGTAATAGTAATAATAATAATTATTATCATCACCATATTTGGACATAACGATAACCAGAGTATCTCTGTCTATTCGAGTGAATATTAAAAAATTGCTCTCGCGCGTTCTTTAATTAAATAAACCTCGATATAATTATATAAAGTTAAGATAAAGTGCGTACACGAATACACCCAAACAAACATGTATGTCGAGAATAACGTAAATGTACAAACAAATTAAAGCATGAT